CCTTTGAAAGAGGAGTGAATAAATTGTGGCGCATTGGCACACTGGAATACCACCTAACTGTGAAAATGAGTGGCCTGCAGTGATAATTCAGTAACCCTATGGCTGAATCTTAGCAAAACCATGCTGAGCTAAAAAAGCAAGTCCTTTTATTGAAATTCAAATATAGCCACAATAAACAATCTATTTTGAGATTTCCATGTTTATGAAATACAACTAAAAATGAGCAAGGGCATAATAGGAGTTGGAGTTGGCTTGGGGAAGAGGAGGTCGGGGAGGATAGAGAAGGGACCTGTGAGTAGATGTAAGTTAGCACCTAATTTCTGAGTTGGATTAGGTTCAAGGGTGTTCATCAGATCACTAAAGTAAGTGATTGAAACAGCAAATGAATAAGCAGGGCCCAAGCATGGACCAGTAACGATAGTATGAAGTGAATCAAGGATTGTAAAGATTAACTCGATTTTGCACACTGAGGTCCATTTAAAAATGTGATTGCAAGATTACATTAAATGAGATAATATTTGTAGCAGCCTACCAGTATGCACGACCTGGCATCCAGTAGGTATTCAAGAAATAAAGTTAACCTCTCTATTCTCCCAGCCAACCAGAGCTCTTATCTTGCCCCTTGTAAATCAGGATTCTCGGGGCTTTGACCCTTCAGGGCTGGATCCTAAATCACTGGCTAATGTTCTTCTGCTTCCTTCCTCCCTCCCGCCCACTCTCCTCTCCCTCCCAGGAGCAAATGAAGCTTGTCTCTCCTATGTCACAGGTCACGGGGACAGTATGTATGAAAAGGCTCTGAGACTAAGTGTCCCCCATGAATGGCTGCTTTCCTACATACCCTGCATTCTGTCAGTGGGTGAAACCAAGAAGACGCAGCTCCTGAGCTGGGCGGCTCCTGTAAGCGACACGGACGAGCGGCCAGGAGGTTGGTGTTTGGGGAGGAGAGGGCTGATGTGATCTGCAATATTCTAGGAGGATGCAGGAGGAGGGGCCAGGCGTTGCCCCTGGAATGGCACCTGTGGGCGAAAGGAAAGAACTCTGGGCTTGGACATGCAGCTATAAAGCCTAGGTTAGGGTCCTACCCTCCCACACACCGGCTGCAGGTGGGCGAGTTACTCAGCACCACTGAGCCCTGCTGCACGCATCCGTAAGATGCAAACTGGAATGTAAATGACACACACACACACACACAGAGAAATAGCAGACATTCAAAACTTACTTCCTGAGTCTGAATCCCGTATGCTCTCCAGAGCCGCAGTTTCCTGCTGCAGGACTGGGACACTCACTTCAGCTAGAATGAAAATGGCTGAATCCAGATTTGACAAGACAGTATCATTTCAAGTCTCAATGCTGATAAATTGATGGGATAGCTGGGTGACATTTGGGGTTGGAAAGAGTTCCTTGACTCCCAACCTTACTTCCCAAGCTCCATCCATTGGCATTGGATTACCTGGAAAAGATCAACAGATCACATATACTGGTGGCTCTTTTCTTAACTTTTGTGTCCGATTGAACCAAGGGAAGGAGACAACCAGAGCAGTCCTGGGACAGAAAATAAGTTGCCAGAAATTGATTCTGGAGAGTCCTAATGGTGACTGACGTCAGGAGGAAGGTTTGAGGGTACCAGTCATTTTATAACCCATGGGCCTTTTAAAAACCATGAGGCTTGGCCTGAGACAGTTACCTCCTTTTCCCTCAAACAAATGACTGAGCCCAGCCCAGCGCATGATTAGCTCTAGGTCTGTGAAACAGACCGGAAGCCAAGGGCAAACTCTGAAACTCACTTTCAAAACAGAGCTATTTTGAACACCCATTATGTGCCAGCATGGCGCAAAGGTTTTCATGTACTTAAAAAAAATCATTACAGTAGTATCTAACAATTTGTCTCCAAATCTTCCTCTTCTAGACTTGGGACAATTTCTTAGATTAGATGGGGTTACCCAGAGATAAAGAGTGAAAATGTGGGGGCAGAGAGCAGGCGTCGGGGTGGAGGTGGCTGCTGCAGACAGGAAGTGAGGGCATCCTGTACCGTAGGTCACACTTGCCTGTCTGCCTCAGAGGCGGGGGTGGTGTCTGCGGATTCTGACCAGAGCACAGCTGTGAGACTTGGGGGCCCCTGGCTTCCCAGTTGGAAGTCTCTCTTAGCAGTTCTGACTTTGCACACTGCCCATCCTGCCACATCAGGTGGAGAAGGGAGGGTGACTAACGTCGCCTGTCATCCTAGCAGAGTCTGCATTTAACTGGGATAAAAGACTTAGCCTGAAGGGGTAGAGCTTGGTGAGATTCTGAGCATCGGTAGGAAATTGGGAGGAGGGTAGGTTTTAAAAGGACTCACTGGGTGCCCTTCTCTGTGTTCCAAAGGGCAGAATTTTGTCCTAGTTGGAAATGTGGCCAGTCTCCTCACTCCCCACACCCTCCCATAGATTTGAAGCTCTGGGGTGTTTGCTTGTCTTTGTGAGTGGGGACAGGCGTTTTTACATTTAGGAGCGGGCTTTTTTGGGAGATAAGGTATATGAAAGTGCTTTATAAATAGTAAAAGGTTACATAAGTGTAAGGCGATGCTCTCCTTGCTATAGCTGCTGGAGCCCGCTGCCGGCAGCGGCCTCTGATCTCACTCCCCCTGGGAGCCTTTCTCCCTTGCTAGGAGCCTGACCCAGATTTGAAGCCTAGGAATACATCTTATGTAAGATTTGGCTAAAGTGGATAGAGCCCCTCTTCCCGGTTCAAATTTGGTTCCGTTTATTTCAATTAAACATTTCTTTAAATCATGTGTTTTCAGCATGCCCAGGCACTGTGCGTGGCTGAGGACATGAAGAATAACACATGCGGGGGCTCCTGTATCCAAGGAACTTACAGTTCAAGAGTAGCTTAAAAAAACAAAGTAGAAATCTTCTTGTTAAATGAAATTTTAGTTAAAAAATTCTCAGTCCATAAAATGAAAATGGGTTGGGCTGCTTTGATGGAGGTGGAGACAGAGGAAGGAGGGGGTGATGGAGGCAGAAGTCAGGGGTCATGCTGGCTGGTTCTCACCGCATCCCCTCAAGACCCTTCTTAGGGTTTCTCAGAGGCCAGTTTGAGGCCAGTATTTGCCAAAAGGCAATAATTTATATAAGGCTTCTAGAAGGAAACTGCAGAATAGTTTCATGGCTGGGAGATAGGCAAAGATTTCTCAAGACCCAAAAAACCCTAAGCATGAAAGGAAAAAAATGATACATTTGACTATATTAAAATGTGAAACTTCCGTTTGTAAAATGACATTGTTAAAATAAATAGGAGGGGGAGGGGAGAGCTCAGTGGTAGAGTGTGCTTAGCAAGCATGAGTCCTGAGTTCAATCCCCAGTACCTCCATTAAAATAAATAAATAAACAGAATTATTACCCCCACCCTCAAAAAAAGAATACCTAAAATAAATAAGAATGCCAGAGTGAGAGACCACATTTACAACACATGTATCTGACAGTAAATTTGTATCCAGAATACATGAAGAACTCCTACAACGCAACAAAAAAACCCCAAAAAACGACGTGAAAAATGGGTCAAAAGACTTACACAGACACTTCACCAATGAGTGTATCTTAATGGCCAATAAACCAAACTAAAAAACCAGCCACCATCAATTAGGGGAGTGGAAATCAAATAGTTTGCTAACAGTTTGCATTTAAATAATAGTGCCACCGCTTGAAATGGCTTTGTGTCTGAGAGAGTTCCATGGACTCCTCAAGTGATTTTTCTTATTTTTGCCATAAAACTTTTTCTCATATCCCTTCTCTGCCTCCAACTTACATTTATCGACAGCACAAAAGCCATGAAGATACAGCTCGATTATCCACAGATAGAGGCCCATGGTTTTGTAATCCTCCACTAGTGGTCTCTGAGGCTGCTCTTCTAAGTTCAAAAATGACATGCTAGTGTTTCTGTTTGCTAGGGAGCCATCTCCCACGGGCGGCAGTTCACCATGCTCTGCAAACAGGCAAACCCACGTTACTGCCCATATAGCACCAAACGGATTTCCTCTGGCTCCAAAGAGCCGCACCTGTGAATTGCAAATGACCAAAAAGGGATTCCTGTTCCAAGCTCTAAGTGGCTCCCGCAGGGACTAGGGCACGCTTGGAAAGATTACGCCAAAACCCACAGTGAAGGTCCACTGTACACCCACCAGGTAGGTCAGATGAAAGTCCTCACCACACAAGGGTTGGCGAGGATGGGGAGCAACCGGAATTCTCACATGGTCCGGGTGTGAGTGCAAATTGGCACAAAGCACTTCGGAAAGCAGTTTGGCAGTTTCTTATAAAGTTAAATATGTGTCAACCCTATGGCTGAGCAACCCCGCTCATGGAGTTTTCATATCTGAAAACGTCTGCTCACAAGAAAGACATGCACACGAGTGTTCATAACAGCTGTGCTCACCACAGGCAAACACTCCAAACACCCTAAATAAGCAGACAATAGATAAGCAAATTGTGCTGTAGTCCGAGAACGTCCCACTCGGCGGGTCAAAAGAAACGCGCTATGGAAAAACGTGGCAACCTGGGAAAATCTCAAAGCCAAGCTGAGCTGAAGAAGGCACACACGCAGCACTGCGTTCTGCATGATTCTGTTCATGCGAAATTCTGCAACAGGCAAACTCGTCTATGGTTAAAAATAAATTAAAAAAAAAAGCGTAAGAGCCTGGTTGGGGATGGAGTGGAGTGGGATGGTAGCAGGGAACTGGGAGGGGCCACGAGGGAATGATCTGGAGTGAGGAGAATGTGCTAGCTCGTAACAGCGAGGTGGGCAACGTGGGTGAGTGCCTGTGTCAACACTCCTTGAACTAAAACCGTTAAGATTTGTATATTTTACTGTATGTAAATTAGATCTCAGTAAAACAAAATGTGAGGCAGAGAAATCACTAGCCTCCAATTTCAATAAGGCAGAGTGGAGACCTTGTGGCACCCTCCTGCGTCAAAACCAACTCACGACTAGGAGAACAAACAGTGGGGAAAAAAAACAACCCACCGTACTTATGGGTGAGTTGTATCCCATTACATACATACGCTGCGTCTTCTTTATCCATTCATCTATCAGTGTGCACTTAGGATGCTTCCATAATTCGGCAATTATAAATAACGTTGCTGTTAATAGCGAAGTGTGTATATCTTTCTGAATTAATTCTTATTTTGTGATTGGCTTTATTCCTTTGATAACTATGTAAGTTTAAAAAGCTAAAGCTCTAAACATTCTTAGAAATAATGAACAGTGCATATATGTAAATTTAAAAAATACGTGCAGTAAAAACAAAGTGAAACAAAAACAACAACAGGAAAACCTCACTGTAGCTCAATGAAGCTAGGTAACATCTGTAACCTACAATAAAACCTGGAGACGGGGAGCAGAGGGAGGAATGACATGCAATTTACCAGAGAGGACAGAAGCCAAGTCTGAGCCCAGAGGGATGGGGGTGAAGTAGGAATGCTGGTTGATTGACAAGGGGAAAGTTCATTTGCCTACAGGATTCCAGAAAGGCTCTGGTGTTAGAGGACTCAGCAGGGGTGGGTTGGGTGAGGGGTGCTGGAGCAGGAGGACTGTCTGAGAGCCCGGTGGGAAGTGTTAGCTCCACCCTCCCCACTACTTCCCCACGACTCCTCCTCCTACTTTCCTGCAATCCTGAGCCCTTCTCAGGGTTTAGGGTCTGGGGAAGTCTTCCAAGGAAGCCAGGACCATCTGCAGTCTACTTCTGTTTTCCTGCTGTATACAACACTTTCCACACAAAAGAAGATACAAAGTCAGTTATTTGCTTGAAGAGAGGAAGCGAAAGAGGAAATTTTAGGTAGGGGGATAAAACCCAATTAACACTGCCGAGTATCGTTCCGCTGCTCACACATGTGCGTGCGCTCTGTTTCCTAGTCTTAGACCTTACGCCGTATTTCCTCTATAAATGAATCTGTGAGGTGGCGCAGACGTGGTTATCCCCCACCTAACGGATGAGGGAAACTGAGGCACAGAAGGGCGACATGAGCTGTCCAAGGTCACACAACATGTTACTGTCTACTCAGAGCAAGGGGCCTGGTCCCTCGGCTCCAAGGTAAGTGTTCTCCCATTAGTCAGTGATGACCGTGTGCTGCTCTTCAAAAATATGGGCAGACGGACCAAAAAAAAGAGAAAAGATACCGATTCCCTTTCTATGCAATTCTAGAAAATGCAGACTAATCCATGGGGACAGGGAGCAGGTCGTGGTTGCCTGGGGACGCGCGGGCAAAGGGGACAGTGAGACGGGAGAGGCTTCGGGGGGCAGGGGGTGTGCTCGCTGTTTTGGTCATGATGGTCTCACCGGTGTTTACATAGGTCAAAACTTCAGATTTTACACTTTGAATATGCAGACTTTATTGTGCGTTGATTACCTCTTTAAAAAGCTATTAGAAAAAATACGGGCAGAAGTGAATCAGTTGCTGGGAGGTCCTACAATGATCATCCCCACTTTTTAAACCTCTCTGAAATATCCAAAAATATACTAGACACAAGGGCAAAATGTAGACCCTGCCTTTGTGGGGACAGGTTTAAAGAAGAAAACTTCCAAAAAGGAAGTAAAGGGAACAAATTTTACCGAGTATCCATCATGGACGGTATGTTCTGCTCAAGTCTCCTCCAAGTTCATATGTTGGAAGGCCAACCCCCAGTGGGATGGCATCAGGAGGTGGGGCCTTTAGGAGGTGATCAGGTAGAGATGAGGTCGTGAGGGTGGGGTTCTCATGATGGGATTGGTTTCCTGATGAGAAGAGAAAGCACTGAGATTCTGCTCACTCTCGGGCCCACGTGCGGCACAGTGAGAAGGCAGCTGTCCACATGCTGGGAGGTTGACCCTCACCGGATTCTAGGTCTGCTGGGGCCTTGATCTTGGACTTCCCGGCCTCCAGAACTGTGGGAAATACATGTCTGTGGCTGAAGCCACCAGTCTAAGATATTTTTGTTAGAGCAACCCAAACTGACTAAGACATTATGCAACACAGTGTCTTAGAACATGTGCACTGAGCCCTATGTGATGGCCGTACCATCATGTCCATCCTACTGGCAAGAAATTCTCCAGGCAGTAAGGGCTGGGGTTTGGGGGAACCAGTGACGAACACCCCTTAACCCCCACTCACTTCCTGAATTCTGAACCCTTTGTCTGACTCAGGAGTTAGACATACAATGACGAAAATGTCAGCTTCGTTACAGACAAATCTGGTTTGGAGGGCTTGGCTGAGAGGTGCTGCTAAATGGTTCTGCTAATTGGTTCTTCTGAGCTGAACTGAACTCTCAAAATTTCAGGGTTTCCCTCAGGCCCCACTAAACTTAGCAAAGAGTACAAATTTCAGGCTTCTTGGGGACAGGCCACTTTGGAAGGTGCTGTTTCCATGGGCAGGACTGAGTCAAGCTGGGGAGAGAGGCCACAAGTATAGCTCTCGGGGAGCCCCTTCACCTGAAAATGCAAGGAGTTAGAAATAATACTGCCCCTACCCTCCACCCCCAGTCAAGTGGAATTCAGATGCAGGTCCACACGCCAAAGCATTTACTACGTCATTGGGCTTCATTCTAAAAGTCGTGCGCAAAAATTACTTCTGTGCACTGAGCTTTAAACTCAACGGGCTAAGGGACATTTGAATGAAAGAAACCCAGTGGTAAACTTTTTGTTAATGGGATAACTTTCTATATTCTTTCATTTATTTAAATATGTTCTATGCACCTACTCTGCAGGCCTCTGAGCCCGTGTCCAGGCAGGTGAGGACAAATGTCATGGTCCCTGTCCTCAGGGAGCTCAAGGAATGATCTCAGTTGTATCTCCTGCCTCAACTTTCCTTTTCCACATGTCTTCCCTTGATCAATTTTGTGCCTCCTGTTACCCACAGATGGATTACTGCTTGTGGCTCCTGTGCACACACCCTATACCCTCCCTCATCCCTCGCCCTTACTTAGGCAGTACCTTTTGCCAATTCGATTAAGCAAAAATTTTTGAGCATCTGCTGTGTTAGGAGTGTGGGAGCTGGAGCTACAAAGAGGAGCGACACCATCTGGCTGCTGGAGATTGTAAAGCTTGGCCTTTTAAATGTCTAAATCCTGTCCATCCTTTCAGGTCCACTTCCTCCGTGAAGCCTTCCCAGGTTTCCCGACCAGCTGTGCTCTCTGAACTTTGCCTTGTTGGAGTATTTGAATTGTAATTTTGAATGGTGAATCTACCAGGTGACTGGTGATTCTTCAGCCTCACCTACCTAGGGGCACGCAATGGAAACACCCCACAATTCCAAGGCTCATCTCCATAGCGGAGTCCCTGGAAAGCTGGTATTTCATTCTCTCATTCCCAAATTTTGCTGCCTGGCATTCCATGGACAGGAAAGGACATGGTGGATGGATGGCAGAGGTACTCCAGATTGACCCGCCCCTGCATCGCGTGTGGCCACCTCCTCCTCCAGGTCAGCTTTGCATTGTGGCTATGGCCCTTCTTTCTTCATCTGGTCTCTCCGCCTCCCCCCTCACACCCTTCCACCCCAGCCTCTGCACTTTAAACTTGAATGAACCCAGCCACGGAGATCCTTGCCTTCCCCCACAGCTCAGAACCTCAGCCTTTCCTGTCTGCCCTTTCATCCCATCCCACAGACCAAGTCCATGCCAGGAAGCCAGAGCTGCTCTGTCCTGGGCCCAGAGCCAGATTACATCTCAAACACAACCCTAGGGATTTCTTTGGGTTTTTCCAGGTTTAGACTTACCCAGTGTCTCACCAGGCCAGGAAATATGGCCAGACTTTTCTTTTTTTCTGCTGCCTATACAGGAGGGAAGAGTGTGAGAGGCCCCTCTATTATTGAAGACTTTTTGGTTTGCAACATAAATTCAGCTCAAATCAGCATGAATAAAAGGAAGCCCTGTCTCTCCTCCCCTCTGTTTCTCTCTGTGCACCTGCTGCAGCCTTTTCTCTTCTTGCAGACTGCTTTTCTCCGTTTCCCAGTTCACCTGGCAAAAAACGGCTGGGAACTTCCATGTTTACACATTGGTCCTAACACAGAGGCTTGGAGAGGGGGCCCATCCCCGGACCGACGGGCCCAGCTCGATTCGAATGTGCTCCGTGGGGTCACGGGAGCAAGGTCGCTCTGCTGCGACTATGGAGGCAGGAGGAGGAGGGGAGGCTCCTAGAGAAGTGGGTACTGGAGGCACTGCGGGAAAGGTATCCCCCAGACCCTCCCATGGAGCAATCTTGACAAGCTCCCCCTCTGGGAAACTAGTGCCCCCAGTTCTGCCTCCGGTCACCTGGACACTGCTGCTGGTAACACGCTCATTACGGTGCGTCTTCTCCCCTACTGCCTTCCCCTCCTCAAGCTCCTGGAGAGCAGGGATGGGTTAGAGTTCTCTGTACCCCCTGCTGCTTATCCAGTGCCCACACTCGGCAGGGCTGCCTGGTGGCTACTGAGAAATATAATACTTACATGTACCAAGAACTGTTCTGAGCCCTTTACACATTAACTCTTTTTATCTTTGAAATAACCCTATGGGGTAGGAACATTTGGAGAGGCCAAGGTGGGTAAGTAACATGTCCAAAATGACACAGTAGGTGGCAGGGTCGGATTCAGACCCAGGTGGAGTGATGCTCAGGTTTGAGATCCTGATCAGCAGATCCTCTCAGCGTCCCCAGGAGTGTTTGGTGAGTTCCTGCCTGCGTCCCAGGTTTTCACGTGAGCCGCATGTGCATACGCACACTGGCGGCAGCGGCCCTGGATAAGAGGAAAGGGTAGAAGCCAGGAATTCCTTGGCCCTCCCTTCTTGGGTAGAATTGGCTGCTCTCTTTTATGCCCACCCCTTACGTGTGCACAGGTAGCACCTGTAACTCCCTCCTGGGCTGATCTGTTTATGATCCTGTTTCACACATACGACCAATGGGGTCCATTTTTAATACTCATTTAATATACTTTTCCTTTAAATAAAAATATTGCTGGGAAATGAGTTGTAAGCTATATATGTAAGAGAAAACACAATAACTAGCTATCTCGGGGGGTTGGGAATAGCTCAGTGCTAAGCATGAACGAGGTCCTGGGTTCACTCTCCGGTACCTCCACTAAAAAGAAAATAAAATAAAGAAAAAAAGTCTGGCTATCTCTTATTCCCCTCCCTTCTGCTCCAGATCCCTTTCCACAGAGAAAACCACCGTCAACTCAATGTTAAGTTATTTATTTGGCAATTTCCCCTGTATTTCTAACTCACGGAGGGGGCCATTCAGTATTGATTCGTCGACCTTAGATGTTAGTTC